GGACAGAAGCCTGTGTGCGTGGGACCCTTCCAGACCTCACCCTATGTATCTCCTTGGTTGTTCATCTGTGTTCTTTATTACCCAATAAACTGGTAAGTATCCCTTATTTCCCCCAGTTCTGCGTTCTGGCAAATAATTGAATCCAAGGGAAGTAGGTGGTCACGGGAACTTCCAAATGGTAGCCAAGTTGGACAGAAATTGTGGGTAACCTGAGGACCTGCTACTCGGCCTCTGAGGCAAGGGCAGTCTCGTGGGACTGAGCCCTTTACCTGTGGGGTCTGCGTGGAGACTCTGCTTAGTGTCAGAATGGAGTTGAATCGTAGGCACCCAGCTGGTGTCATCGAATTGCTTGGAGTTAGAGGAAACATAGCCCACATCTGTTGTCACAAGTCTTATGAGTGTGGTCGTCATGTGAGAGTAAAGGAGAAACACACAAAAAAGAGTTTTTCCTTTACAACCATTGGGGGGGGGGCGCCTGGGTGGCTCAATCTGTGAAGCGTCTGACTCTTTTTTTTTTAAGATTTTATTTATGTATTTGAGAGAGAGAATGAGATAGAGAGAGACAGCACGAGAGGGGGGAGGGTCAGAGGGAGAAGCAGACTCCCCGCTGAGCAGGGAGCCCGATGCGGGACTCGATCCCGAGACTCCAGGATCATGACCTGAGCGGAAGGCAGTCGCTTAACCAACTGAGCCACCCAGGCGCCCTGAAGCATCTGACTCTTGATTTCAGCTCAGGTCATGATCTCAGAGTGATGAGATTGAACCCTGTGTCAGGCTCCGTCGTGCTGAGAGTGGAATCTGTTTGGGATGCTCTCTCCCCCTCCGCCTCTGCCCCTCCCCCTGCTTGTGTGCTCTCTCTGATTCTTAAAAAGAAGATAAAAAGAAAGAAAAAAAAAATGCAACCATCATGTAACAAAGCAAGAGACTATGTCATAAAGATCTGGTGTCTGAACAGGTAATGTTTTCCCATGGCTTGAAAATAAAATATTGTGTAGTAGAACATTTTGCTCCCACCTATGTGGGAATCCTCCTGGTAAACACTGCTGATGAATACCTTTATATGTACATATATATGTATATCTTTTGTACATGACAGTGTGTTGAGTCAGAGGGTATAGGCATCTCTCATGTTGAAAGATGCTGTCAAGTTCCGTCTGGAATGGTTGTGCCTTTTCACATTTTCACCAGCAATGTGTGAGAGCCTGTTTTTCTAAGCCTTTCCCATAAAATGTTACCAAACTTTTGAATTTTTCTAATTTCACTGCTGAGACGTGGTACCCCTGGGTCACTTTTGCCATTTCTCTTCAAGCAAACAAGTTCGAATACCTTTTCATGTGTTTCTGTGAGCCCTCGGTTCACACTTTTGGGCCATTTTCCTGTGGTTCTTGATATTATTATCGCCTTGTTGAGACTCTTGACATATTGGAAAGTTACTCTTTATGATGTCAGTGGCAAATCTTTTTTTTTTTTTTTCTATTTTAAGCTTTTGTCAGCCACGCTGTCTTCTTGTTCTGATGTACTAGGATTTATATCTTCTCTTTTGTGGCTTCCGAAGCTTGAATCATATTTAGAAAGTCTTCCTCTATCCAATGCCACACAGGAATTACCCCAAGTTTTCTTGTTATGTCTTTATGGTTTAATTACATCCGTAAATCTTTTACCACGTTGGGAGTTCATCAGGTTGTGAAGTGAGGAATACGGATGCAACTCTGTTTTCCTAATGAGCAGATAATTGCCCCAAGCCAGTTCTGTTCTCCCATCCCCTTGAGATGGCCCCTTTATTGTATTCACTATGTTCCCACATAGATATAGATCTGTTTCTGACACAGTAGAAAGACCTTTTTGTCCGTTCCATTGGTCTGTCAATGTTCTAAGACCCCAGAGTTAATTCGTGTTTATACCTCTTTCCTTGATGACTCTGGGATACCAGTCCCAGTCTGCGGGGTTTTCTTCTTCCACACAAGAAATTCTCCAACACCAGCTGGGTGTCCTATAATGCAACTCAAGTCTGACATCTCCCTGGAAATGGCATCAGGCCCCACATGCTAAAGGCTCGGTCCCACAAAACTGCCCCTCCCTCTCTTCACAGTTCCAGGATGTCCCTGTGTTCCTGGCCTACTGGCTGTAAATTGGGGTTCCCACGATCCCCTCCTTAGGTTCAGTGAACTTGCTGGAGTGGTTCGGAGAACTAAGAAACAGTTTACTTAGTGGATCACCGGTCTATTATAAAAGGGTAGGGGCACCCGAGTGGCTCAGTCAGTTAAGCATCCGACTCTTGATTTCAGCTCAGGTCTGGATCTCAGGGTTGTGAGATTGAGTACCGTCTTGGGCTCCGTGCTCAATTTAAGATTTTCCCTCTCCCTCTCCCTTTGACCCTCCCTGCTAATGTTTGCGTGCTCGCTGTCTCTCTCAAACAAATAAATTAATCTTTTAAAAAATAATAAATAAAAGGATATAACTCAGAAACAGCCAGAAAGAAGAGCTGCACAGGGTGAGGTCTATGGAAAGGGCGTGGAGCTTCCACGCCTCCCCAGGGCACCACTAACCCCCAAGTCTCTGCACTCACCAACCTGGCAGCTCTTTGAACCCCATCCTTTTGGGTTTTTACACAAGCTTCACCATGTAAGCATGCCTGATGTAATCATTGGCCATAGGTGAATGAACTCAATCTCCAGCCCCTTTCCTTGGAAGGTCAGGGGTGGGGCTGAAAGTTCCAAACCTCAAATCCTGGTTGGTTCCCGTGGCAACCAGGGTGCTTCCGGTCCTTTGGAGCTTTCCCCAGGTCATCTCATTACCATAACAAGAGACCCCCCCCTCTGCTCCTGTCACTTAGTGAATTGCGAGGGTTTTAGGAGCTCTGAACCAGAAAGGGGACAAAGGCCAAATATATCTTTCTTATTATAAACCAGAATGTCATAGAGCTATTTCTCTCCCTAACAAAGGTCTCCTGGCTTCCTACCAAGTTTCTATTTTCTTAGGAACTTTAGAATCCGTTGGTTCAAAACACAGCTCTTTTGGTTTCTGAGCTACATATGTGTTTTAATCTTTTCAAAACTTACTAAAATTGAAAATATCAAACCCAGATACTAAATGTAGGCAAAATAGTATAAGTGAACCCTCGTGGACCAGCACCCAATTTCAGTGATCATTTCATGGCCAGTCTTTTTCATCAATACCTCAACGCATGTGATCCTCTTGTATAATTTTGAAACATATCCCAAATATATCATCTCATCTGTAAATAAGTAAATACATAAATCTAAATATAAAATATACATATATTTTATAAATACATACATCTAAGTATATAAATAAATCTAAGTGATAAGAATTCACATAGGCACCAAAACATTGTTTTTTTTTAATTTTATTTATTTATTTGAGAGAGAGAATGAGATAGAGAGAGAGCATGAGAGGGGAGAGGGTCAGAGGGAGAAGCAGACTCCCCGCTGAGCAGGGAGCCCGATGCGGGACTCGATCCAGGGACTCCAGGACCATGACCTGTGCCGAAGGCAGTTGCTCAACCGAGTGAGCCACCCAGGCGCCCCAAAACATTGTTTTTAACAATAATTCCAAATAATAGCCCATAATCGTTTCATCGATACCATAAATACCATAATCGTTTCATCATTTCATCAATACCAAATTTTTTCCGGCTTTTAATTGAGATCAAATTGACTGTGTAGGTTACCTTAAGGAGAATTGACATCTTGGTAGTGGAGTTTTCATAGCCACAGAGCAAGTATGTCTTTCCATCTACTGGAGTTTTGGCTTAGTGATCCACCAGTGTTGGGGGGGGCGGTTCTTCATGGTGGGTTCCCCTCATCCGTGGTTCCAGGTCAACTGTGGTCCTGAAGCAGGTGGTCTCCCTTCTGATGTACTGTCAGGAGGTCAGGACAATCTAACGCTAGGTCACAAACCTGCATGCATCACTCACCCGCTTCATCCCCTCACCTGGCTTTCTCATATGTGTGTGCATCTAGGGAAAAAACTTTGTCATATGTGTGTGCATCTAGGGAAAAACACAGTGTATACAGGGTTCGGTACTATCCACGGATTCGGGCAAACATGTATCCCCCAAGGAAAAGGGGGGCTACTGTACAGGTAGCTTAATTCTTTTCTTTTCTTTTCTTTGAATATGTATTTACTTGAGGGGGAGGGGCAGAGAGAGGGAGACTCTCAAGCAGATTCCCTACTGAGCCCGGAGCCTTGACTCGGGGCTCCATCCCACGACCCTGAGGTCATGACCTGAGCTGAGATCGAGAGTCAGATGCTTAACTGACTGAGCCACCCAGGCGCCCCTTACTGTTTTTTAATTGTTGTTGTAACTTTTGTAAATTGTATCCCCTCACTGGTTGTTGTTTGTATTTATGAATGAAGTCGATTTCTGTATGATAATTTTGTATCCACTACCTCCCTGCAGTTTCTCCTTGTTTTGTTTTGTTTTGTTTTTTTGAAAGATTTTATTTTTTCATTTGAGAGAGAGAGAATGAGAGAAAGCACATGAGAGGGGGAGGGTCAGAGGGAGAAGCGGACTCCCCGCTGAGCAGGGAGCCCGATGCGGGACTCGATCCCGGGACTCCAGGATCATGACCTGAGCCGAAGGCAGTCGCTCAACCAACTGAGCCACCCAGGCGCCCTCTCCTTGTTTATAACGTATCCCTTCATTGACTTTTACTGCGGTTCAAGGAATTCACCAAGCCATCTGCAGGTAGTCATGGTCAGACTTCCCCTCTAATTTTTACCTCCAATTTCTCTGGCTTACCTGGTTGCATTGACCGACGCCAGCAATCACCTCTACATCACTGTTATATATATGTATATGTCAGAGCAGTAACAGGGGACATCCATGCCTGGTGTGGTTATGGTCACATGAGTAAAGAAGGCAAAGATACTAGTATGAGAGACTCTAGAGTAATATCAGCTTCATTCCAAATGCATACATTCTTTTCAGTGCTTCCACAGGATTCATCCTCAAGAGCAAAACTACCACCAGACCATTGCATTTATTTTCATATCTTTTACTCGTAAAACGCATTCACATTTTATCGGCAGGTATGAACCACTTTTGAGTTTTCCCTCCCACGCCCGTTTGGATTCCTCTGAGTGAGGTGGATCTAAAGGAAGAAGAATAGTCCCATGTTCTGGACCTGTGGTCACGGCCGTCTGCATGGCTTCCTCTCTAGGGGTACTCTCCTGGGGTACCGTGGACCCGGAATCTATATAAACACGTGTACTTCGGGTGTCCCCAGTTGCTGAGGATTTTCAGTTTCACACATAATAAGGATTCAGAAACGCCATGCTGAAAATAAAGAAAAGATACAAATGAATGCCTTATACAGAAATCCATCTCCAAGAATCCAACCACCAAGGGGTGCTGATATAATGGGAAATTAGAACTCTTTCCTTCCTAACCAGTATTTTATTAGACACCCAGTCTCATGGAGGGGAAAATAGGTCCGGGTAAGTGCAGGGCTCATAGGAAGATGGTGCCCCCGGGTGGGAGCGGGAGAGAGACACGGATAAACCATCACATATGAGAAACTTTACAGGTTCATTCATTTCTAACACGCATATCGTTTTCAGCTCAGATTATCTCGGCATTGGCCAAGAAGTGTCATGTATTTCTAAATCTTCCTGCGCCTAATGACAAATAATGAAAATGTATTTCATATACCTTAATGGCTTTCACGGGTTTTTTATGTCAACAGTTGGTATTTTTCCCCCATTTCCTCTTCCTAACACTCCTCAATGTCAGGAAGACAGATTTGACTCACATTGTCCGATATTTATTTTTTCTTCCTGAGCTCCTGTCTGCCTGCAGCCATCTCCATGGGAGATGACCTAGTGACCACTAATAGTATCGAGAGAACCCAATAGATAAGGGAAGGACTGAGAAAATGAATATAGTAAAAATTAAACAAAAATAGTAGCAAATGAGGAAGAATCAGGATTAGAACCCGCTCTGGTATTTGCCTGGTGTTTGGCATTAAAATCCATGTAGCACTTGGAGCTAAATATGGAAGCTGAGCCAAGCCTTCTTTAGCTCATACTTCTGTCATAATTATCCTCACACAACACTGTGCATCAACAACACCCACAGACCCGCCCGGGGTTGGAGTTTCTCACACCCCACGTTTTCCAGGGCGCTCATTACCTGGAGCTCGAATGTTTGAACAGTGCTTCCCATTTTGTTATATACGAACTGACCTAGGAATATTTCTTCTCCCTCACATTGTTTCGAGATGCCCTATGAAGGAAAGCAAGAGACAAGGGAGTTCTTGAGTGGATGCTGGGCTAAAGAAACGGAGGCAGTTGTCTGTCCAGGTAGCAATAATTCACAAGACATCTTTGGCGGTCCACCAGGAGCACGGTGCTGTGGCAGGACCCGGTGCTGCCCTATACGCCCAAGAGGTGTTTAACTTGGGGGCTTGTGAAGCAAGAGGAGGCTGACCATAGGTCTGATTGGATAATGGTAGGTAGATAGATTGATCAGTTGATTGATAGATGATAGATAGATAGATAGATAGATGATAGATAGATGATAGATAGATGATAGATAGATAGATAGATAGATGATTGATAGATAGATAGATGATAGATAGATAGATAGATGATAGATAGATAGATGATAGATAGATGATAGATAGATAGATAGATAGATAGATAGATAGATGATTGATAGATAGATAGATAGATAGATAGATAGATAGATAGATAGATAGAGACAGGGAACTAGAACAAATCCCAACATTGACCCTGGCTCAGTAGCTGAATTTGCAGGTGGCATACTTTGAATAAAATAAGCACAATGTGAGGGGCGCCTGGGTGGCTCAGTCCTAGACACCCCACTCTTGATTTGGGCTCGGGTCATGCTCTGCACTCAGCGCGGAGTCTGCTTGACCCTCATCCTCCACCGCTCCCCACTCCACTCTCTGTCTCAAATAAAAATAAATAAATAAAATCTTTAAAATACACCCCCACAAAATGAGTCCCCATGTTGACCCACGGTTTTCCGAAACGAGATAAATTTAATCCAACTACCAGACTTCGAGAACACAAATAACTCTATCCAAAAAGTAAGCTTTTGTTGACTGGAAGATCTTAGCGATATTCGTACACTCTTTCCCTTGAGCTTTTCCCTTCATCCTCTACCTTCAAAATGGAAGTTTTTGAGAGGAGACAGACCGGTGGAAATGAATTTATTTTGTGAATCTAAACTTTATCATTGGTGTCCTTAAATCATGGCAACACAATAATCAAAGAGTTCATTGGTACAATTGTTTGATAATGAAAATATTGATATGTAAACTTTATCAGAAGTTATTTTTAAGTAAGCTCTACGTCCAACCTGGGCCTTGAACTCATAACCGCGAGATCAAGAGTCACATGCTCCACCAACTGAGCAGGCCAGGAGGTCCATCACAATTTATTAAAAGAATTGTCTACAGCATGACTACATAATGCAGCCACAATTGTATATTCATACAACTCAAAGCTCATACACAGCTGACCCTTGAACAACACGGGTTCAACCGTGTGAGTGCACACAGATGTGGATTTTTTGGACAAATACAGCAAGAACTGTAAGTCTATTTTCTCTTCCTAATGATTTTCTGAGTAGCCTTCTCTCTTCTCCAGCTTACTTTATTGTAAGAATACAGTATATATATAATATATATATTTTTTATTTTATTAATATATAACATATAAAATACGTGTTCATCGACTGTTACCAGTAAGACTTTTTACCATACTGTTTTATGGGTCAACAGTAAGCTGTTGGTAGTTAAGTTTTGGGGGTCAAATGTACGGGGGGGTTCAACTGTGTGGTAGGGGGTGCCCACTGCAGTTCCTCTAGCTTTAATCTCACTGGTTCATAAATTGGCTAATATAAGAGAAAAATGATGAGAAGTGGTTTCTATTGCCTGAGGGGTTACCCATAACTCCCCTGTAATGAGCAACCGAGTGCGTCTCTCTGAGATGCGGTTCGAGCGGCTCAGCTCCAACCTCTGTCAGCCGCAGGTGTCAGCAGACAGCTACTGTGGGTGGTGGCAGGCCCCCATCAAAGGATAGTGGTTTCTTTTCTGTCTTGTGACCCAGAATCATGCCACTTACAGGCATTCAAAGGGTGCGCAAAGCAGGCTGAGCACCCATGTTTTAACTCCAAGCGCCCCCTCCAGATAGGGCCACCAAGGAGTTGAAGAAAGGCATAGAGCAACAGGGAACACCAGGGAACAGACTGTGAGACGAAAAGTCTGGCGAAAGCCAATTGGTGACTGGTGTAGTGGCCTGGAGCAAGAATGGACTATCCCGGCTTACGGGGGACCAGCAGCATGCTGATGTTGCCATTGCAAATTCCAAGAAGGACAGACACAAGGCCACGGGCTGGGGGGAGGGCAGGGGGTTGCAGGGGGAGCACATGTACCTATTGTCCCTGTGGGTGGTTGACCAAGCTGAAATCTGGGCACAAGGTTGCAAGACTCCTCCAGGGTCAACCTGCCCCGTATCATACTCTGGGGGTTCCAGAAGAATCGGCCCAAGCAGAGCACCCACTTGGCATCCACCACCTTGCATGCACAGCTTTTGGCTGGCTTTTTACCCTTTGGCTTTTAAATGCAACAGACAAGCATCACCAGACATGAGAGAAAAACACTTTTCCACAAATAGGAAAAGTGGTATTTGGGAATTAGGACACAGGAAGGAGCAGGAGAAAACACAACACAACTATAATTAATGTCTATTAATATCTTCCAGAGCTGAAGAGAAGATATTGCATCCATGAAGGAAGAAATTTAGACTCTAAAGAAAGGGAGTTATTTGCAGGGAAAAAAAAAAGTCTCAGAATAATCATGACAGCAGAAATGAAAAATTCCACATATGGGTTAGGATATAAGTTGATAAAATCTTTCAGAGGGTGGAACAAAAAATGAAGGAAAATTAGAGAGAAAAGATTTTTTAAATACTAGATTAGATGATTAAGTCGAATCCCCAGGATGCAGACATGAAGTTCTGGTCACATCGGAGCAGAAGGGCAGAGTGGGCCAGAGGGACATTTAAAAAAAAAAATAAAATAAAGAAGAAACTTGGAAATGATCTGACATGAAGGAACATAATGGCAGGATTTTTACCCTTTGGAAAAAAGAGGTGGGGAATGGTTTTGTGATAGGAATGTAGAAAAGTCAGCAAATTCAATTGAAACGAGGCATTCGTTTTGATGAATAGGAACATCAAACATTTTAACGAACAGGAACATCAAAGTCTTACACAAAGAAAATAGTATTCCAGTATACTATAGGGCTCAGTGAGAACACCCCCATTCACACAGTCACAGTGAAAACATTGCATATTGATTGAAAGGAAGATACGCCGTCTAGCAGTGTCTCCAACATGACACGCAGATGTACCACGTGACCTAGTAATTCTACGTCCAGATATAGACCCAAGAGAAATGAACACCGATGTCCACACAAAGACTTGGACACGTATATTTCCCGCAGCGCTATTCATAATAGTCAAAAAAGAGGAAACAGCTCAAATGCCCATCAGCTGATGAGTGGATATATAAATCCACACAATGAAATATGTATTATTCAGCAATTTATTTATTTTTATATTTTTTTAATTAAAAATTTTTTTTTATTTATTTGAGAGAATGAGAGAGGGAGAGGCAGAGAGACTCCTAAACAGACTCCACACTGAATGCAGAGCCCAACGCGGGGCTCGATCCCAGGACCCTGAGATCACGACCCGAGCCGAAACCAAGAGCGGACGCTCAACCCACTGAGCCACCCAGACGCCCCTATTACTCAGCAGTTTAAAAAATGAAGTGCAGTCACACGTTATAGAGCACAGAGGAACCTCAAACACATGATGCTAGGTGGAAGGACCCTTTCACTGAAGACCACATATTATATGATTCCACTTACATGAAACGTCCGGAGTAGGCAACTCTGCAGAGACAAAGTAGGTCAGTGGTGCCGGGGGTGGGGGAGCGGGCTCAGCGATGAGAGCTGACAGCTAAGGAGAGCAAGTCTTCTTTGGGGGGCAACAAAAATGTCCTAAAGTTGATCGTGGTGAGGGATACACAACTCTGTGAATATACATACTAAGAACCACCAACGTGAACACTTTAAGTAAGCGAATTGCTGGTATGTGAATGACCTCTCAATAAACTTGTTTATTAAAGAAAAGTAAGACCTAAAAATTGGGGGAAGATGGGAGAGCCGTGGACGAGGACTGATCTTCATTTTTTATCAGAGGAAGTCAGTAGATTATAAGCAAAACTGAAAAATCAAAAAGTAAAAGTAGGGGCACTTAACTGGCTTGGTTGGTAGAGCACAGGACTCTTGAATTTGGGGTGGTGAGTTCGAGCCCCGCATTAGGCATAGAGATTACTTAAAAAAGAAGAAGTAACGGTAAAAGCAAATATGAAGGCAAGTGTACCGAAATGAGCAGCTAAAACTGTGGCCAAGTGGAAGCTTCTAGAAAGTAGAAACCTGGGACAAGAAGCCCTGGCACAAGAAAAAACTGTTTAGTTATAAGTATACAAGAATGCTGATTTTTTAACTGTGCACATATAGCTTTGATAAAAATAAAAAAAATAAGTAATAGAAATCATCTGGTTCAACCCTCTCTCTTTGTAGATGGCAAAGCAGAGGTAACGGAAAGAAGTAACTTTCTCACAGTGATAAAAATGGTTAGCTGCACAGTTCAGGTGCCGTCCCAGCATCTGATTCCTTGCCAACCCCCTCTTAGTATAACCCACTCTGAACACAGATTCCGACTGCCTCTCACATAGACAGAAAATTCCTTGGGTGCGCTGGAGATGTTTCCTGAGGGAGACACCTTCTTCGAGATGTGCTCCATGGTAATGGCAGTTGGTGTGATCTTCCTGGCAAGCTTGATCAGGGCATGACCCTGGGAACCTGGGAAGGCCCAGCACTTCCCAGGGTGGACATCCGGCTGGAAAGAAAACACCGAGTTAATCTCTTATCGGGTTGTATAGATCCACCACTGCAATATTGGTCAGCAAATCACTATTGACCACAGATCTCGCTTATGCCTGTAATACGAAGGCACTGTGTGGGGTACATACCACACAGGAAAACTGCCAAGGTACCCAGGGGTTTGGTTGTTCTTCCAGAGCACATCAGACTTCAATCATTCAAAGCCTTTCATTATAGGATTATCTCTTATATGATTATCTAATTTATTTATTATGCATTTTCTTTTATTGCTCTAACTAGACTGTATGTTGCTAGAAGGCAGCCAGTTGGCATGAGTGGTGATAGCGTGCTGGTGGCAAAGACAATGATGGAAGTGATGGTAGAGATGATAGTGGTGATGATGATGGTGGTGATGATGGTGATGGCGATGATGGTGGTGGTGATGATGGTGGTGGTGGAGGTGATGGTGGTGATGATGATGGTGGTGATGGTGGTGGTGGAGGTGATGGTGGTGGAGGTGATGGTGATGGTGGTAGTGGAGGTGATGGTGGTGATGGTGGTGGTGGTAGTAGTGATGGTGCTGATGATGGTGGTGGAGGTGATGATGGTGGTGGTGATGGTGGTGATGGAGGTGATGGTGGTGATGGTGATGCTGGAGGTGATGGTGGTGATGATAGTGGTGATGATGATGGTGGTGGTGATGGTGGTGATGATGGTAGGGGTGATGGTGGTGATGGTGATAATGGTGGTGGTGATGAAGGTGATGATGATGATGGTGATGGTGGCGATGATGGTGGTGGTGGTGATGGTGGTGATGGTCAAAGCAGTGGTGATGGTAAGGAAGAAAAATGTACCATTTTCTAGATCTAGAGTCTGCAATGAAATCTGTATTATTGCTTCTGAAGGTATTCCTACCTTGGAAATGGACTTCAGGTTTGTTGGTTGTAGTTAAGATCAGCCCTACCATCTGTTGATGTCTACCTATAGCCTTCTAAATTGAACTCATATGTTAGTGGAGATCGTATTTGGAAATGTCTCCTGTTACACTTGGACTCTGCAGGAATGTGTCAGTCTGGAGAGCGGGTGGTACAGTGCTGGCACTTAGGGGCGAGCACCTGGAGTTAATGTTTGTTGAAAGACTGAAGTTTTCAACTAAAGAGGGGGGCTGCAAGATCGATTTAAGGAAAAGATATGGAATGCAAACGTCCTATTTAAGAAGTAAATAATCTAGCTTACGAATTTTAAAATGATAAAAATAATTAATAATTAATCATTTAACTAATTTTAATAATTTATGAGTTTACTGCCCATAAAATAAGAAATAATTTATATAGTTTGATGACTATTAAAATGCAAGTAGGGGGGCACCTGAGTGGCTCAGTCAGTTAAGCGTCCTACTCTGATCTCGGCTCAGGTCATGATCTCAGGGCCGTGAGATCAAGCCCCGTGTCAGGCTCTGCACTCAGCGTGGAGTCTGCTTGAGATTCTCTCTCTCTCCCTCTGTCCCTCCCCTTCCTTCCCCCCAAAATAATAAAATAAAATAAAATAAAATGCAAGGTGATGGTTTCAGGTTCTGTGACAAATTCAGAGTGGCCTCCATTGTGGGTGTTAATATTTTCATGATAAATAATATGAGCAAAATCCTCAAATATAAATAGATTCCTCTTAGTCTAGCTTCTACCTGTAGAATAATATCTGGAGGCATTTCGTAAGTTAAGAAACCGATCCCATGCCAGTGAAGTTTTGCTTTATTATTTTTGTAACTTTCCGAGGTCCCAGCTTCAATGACAGAAGCCCCTGCAAAGAGAAAATAATATTTTAAATAAACAATTACACATCTCAAGACACATCATTTATATTTTCACAATGTTGTTAGAATAGTGTTCCCAGGCAAATTGCCAGTAAGGTGACGTTCACACTCAGGCATCGGTAGGGGGAGTACGGCTTCCCGCTCTCATTACTGCTGAGACTTTGTCACTTTGAGAAAACGTGTGGTTTTCTTGCTCTGTGTGGTTTCATAGCATTTCCGAAACTGGTACTGAATGAATTCCAGAACAATTGATTCAGAGGGGGAAATATGATGTGGACTGTGTTTATTACCTCAACAGACGTGTGGACGCCCATATTTTAACAACTCATGTAATGAGACTTTTAAATCAGCCCAACCTACTTAAAAACAAAAAAGGCATAAAAACCAACAATGTCAGGGGCTCAGTCAGTAGAACATGCAACTCTTGATCTCCGGTTTGTGAGTTCGAGCCCCACACTGGGTGTAGAGATGACTTAAAAATAAAGAAATTTAAAAATCTTTAAAAAATAAAAAAATAGAAAATCAAATATAAAGAATACGGACCGCTTGGGAGCATTAACTTTTCAGTTTTTACTCACCTGCTGATTTAAGGGCATAGTCGGCCATTTGGACTTGGTCCTCTCTCAACTTTTTAAGGACATAATTTACCAAGTTTGACATTTCCTGTAAAAATATTAGAAAGAGTTCTCTGTTAACAATCTCGGCTAACTTCTTGGGTTTTGACAATTCACTTTGTAGACTTGCAGCTAAGCACCATAATCTGCAAAATACAAATGGTGAACATTGAGGAACTACACAGAGCCAGGTGCTGCGCCCGGATTTCTAATGTCCTCCACAGCCCCGAGGGGTCGCCATTCTCCAGGTCACTGGGACATGTCCAGATGCCCCCCAGTCCCAGCAAGGTTGGAGCCAAGGCCCCTTCGGAAGCCCTAACGACCCCCCATCACGCTCTGCAGTGAGGTGGTCACACGAGGTTGTGCATGCCACCTGCTGGGTCCCCCCGCTTCATTCGCGTCTCTGTTTAGTAATAAAGACTTGATCATTCTGTAGGTATTTGGGCATCAGGTCTTTTACATGGAGTTCATGACTGCTTCTTAGAAAGTATCCATCCTTGGGGCGCCTGGGTGGCTCAGTCGGTTAAGCATCTGCCTTCAGCTCAGGTCATGATCCCAGGGTCCTGAAAATAAGCAAGGGGTCTGCTTCTCCTCCCGCTCCCCCAGCTGACTCTCTCTCTCTCTTTCTCAAATAAATAAATAAAATTAAAAAAAAAAAAGAAAACATCCATCCTTTGAGTTAATACTGGCTTCTTAAGGACGTTCTGATTCTAAGAAAGCAAGTATCCTAGAGGACCCACCATTCCAGTTCTGACTCGGACCCTTGTCCCGGGGCCCTGACAGTACAGGGCCCGGAGGGCAGGAGGTGTCAGGGTGAGGTTTCTGTGTGCTTCAGGAAATAGGCATTAAGGGAAGAAGAGAAGCTAGTGTGGGAGACAGGGAAAAGCAGCCAAGCTCATTGGCCTCCAGCATCATGTGCCCTGATCGGGTGCTGATGAGGTCAAGGGCGCTAGCTTCGGCTCCGTGAATAAAAATATTCTGCTCTGTAAGTGTTCAGAGGCTGCATTTCTGAATGAGCTTCTATGTGTCTTACGGGAAAATAAAACGGCGTCGGGTACTGACTTGGGCGGGAAGTCCGTCAGATGGCAAGTCTTCTCTGTGACACAGGGATCACAGGCAAGCGGGTTCCCAGGGCAAGCTTTCTTGAGGTAAGCTCCTGTCAGGGAGAACCTTCCGGAGGAGGACAAAGCATCCAGTGCTTGAGTTTTCTGCTCCCAGAAGCCATGCAAGGCGACCCTCCCAAGCGCCCTTACCTCGTCAGTGGCCTCCAAGGGCTCCTGGTCCTCATCTCTGTCCATGTTCCGGCTGTAATTGTGCAGACCGTCCCGCGTATCTCTAAGCAATGCCTTCAGAACATCTATTTGTTCAATTAAAAATAGAATTTCACGGAAGTTGTTCTCCAGAGTCTGGCTTTCCTTCCTGTAAAGGGAGACCCCCTGATGTGAAGGGAGGGAGACTGGGCTTCCTGCCAAGGGTTGGGCTTCAGAAGCAGCCCCGGGAAGAGGCTGTTGCAGGAGAGGCCAAGTCTTGAGAGAGGGGGTCGGGGATGCCCCTTGGTCACAAAGCGCCGCCCGTCACTCCCTATGAACAGCAAGGACATTCAGGGCAAGAAGCTTCCAGAGGGTGTCCCAATGCTTGGGGCGTGCTCTACGCAGGCAGGTAGGGCTTCTCCAACCTTATGCGTCCCTGGGCCCTCCCTGGGGGCTGTGCTACCCTGACCGGAGCCTGCATGACTTCACAGCGTGAAGCCTAAATCCCCATGGGCCACCTTGTTCCCTTGTTCAAATGGGGAACACCCTGTATCTCCAGTGGGGTATGGAGCAGGGGTTTCATCCTGAGCCCTGAGGTCCTATGGATGAGGCTCCGGCAAGGAGGGTGGCTGGAGGCTGCGTGGCTGGAGATTACAGCTGGGGACAGCCACTTGTCCCTGCTGACAGCAGGAGGGTGCAAGACGTTGTTTTCGCAGAATGGCTTCTGCCACTTGGACAGTTTGAAAATTACTGGCGGACACAATGAGTACGTGTCAAGCCAGCAGGTGTCTCTTTAGGTTGAAAAATGTAAGCACTACTCACCTATGACTTTCTTCTCCCCGCCCCCCCCAGTTTGTAAAACAATACAGGTTCAAGGTTTGGCAAATACAAAACTCTTCAAGAGATAAACACTGCTGCATTTCTGTGTGCTTATAACAGTTTTTATTCCATGAGAAAAACTAGGAACAAAATACAGATGCTGTTTGTGATCTTGTGTCCTGCTGCACTTCCCGGGTACTAGATACATTATTAGGTATTATAATCATTAAATATTTACATTATTCATTATTACAGTTATTTCGAAGGCTTCATAATTCCCCATTACACGGATATCCTCAAACGTATTTAACCGTTGGCTTGTTTTTCTTCTCCAAGCGGTTTTCATTTTCTTAAATCATAACTCATCTGGAAAGCACGGCTCAGTGTCTATTACCTTAAAGAATGAGCCCCAGAAGTGGGAGTGATTTTAGTTTTATGGTTTTAGAAAAACATTCCACTGCTGGAGTCACACCAGCAAAGTCCCCCGAATCAGAAAACCTCACTCACTTTAAAAGCTCCAGTTGTTCTTTTGGCGTCCGAAGTCTGGCCTGGAAGAAACCAAAGGACCCCAATCATTCGGCATCTTGCCTAGTCAAGCAGAGTTAGTGTTCTTATTCGTAAAGGGGAAAGAAATCACACTTGCACCTGGATAGACATACGTGACACGGGGGGACGCCGAGTGTCCTCTAAGACACCTGCATGTCTGTCTGCCTTCCTGCAAATGGTTACATTTTGTGGGGATGAAGCAACATCCAAATCTGAAAGTGACAACTGGAGTCTAAGAGGGGCTGTTTCTCAAGGTAGTGAAAGTGCTGGGGCGTCTGGGTGGCTCAGTGGGTTCAGTGTCTGCCTTCAGCTCGGGTCATGATCACAAGGTCCTGGGATGGAACCCCACAACGGGCTCTCTGCTCAGCAGGGAGCCTGCTTCTCCCTCCACCTGCCAATCCCTCTCTCTCTCCCTCTGTGTGAGCTCTTTCTCTCTCTCTGCCTCAAATAAATAAATAAAATCTTTAAAAAGATATCTAAAGAGAAGGGAATGCTGTTTAAAATCAGTTGTTAATTGAATAAAAACAGCTTCTATTGCCCATAGCTACTGTAGCTCAAGTCTAAAGGCTGCTTGGAGGCAGAATTTCTTCGTCTTTGGGGGTCTCCACTCTTTCTCTCTTAAGACCTTCAACTGATTGGGTGAGGCCCACCCATACTACGGCGGTTAATTTGCTTTACTCAAAGCCTACCAGTTTAATGTTAATCACATCAAAAAATGCCTTCACAGCAACATCTAGAACTAGTGTTTGACCAAACGTCTGGGCACCTAGCCTAGTGAAGGTGACCCCTAGAATTAGGCATCGTAATAGGGGTAAGCCTCCAAAGTCCTAGCTCATTCCAGCATCACCTGAAAACTCTAAAGTCCATAGCCTCGTCTAAGTAGCACCTAAGTCCGATATGGGTTAAGATCCCAGATAAGATTCATCCTGAAGCTAATTCCCCTCCAGCTGTGAGGCTATGAAACCAAACACGTGATGTGCTAAATACAGGGATGAGACAGGTGGAGGATAGACATCCTCATTGCAAAAGGAAGAAACAGAGAAGACAAAAGGTTCACAAACATTCAGTCTATGGTAGGAGCCTGCCGGGATCAGAGGCTGGAGAGGATTTGTAGGTCAAATTGTAGCTTCGCTTCGTCATAAAACCGCTTAATAGGACCCTGGTCCCTACGCTAATTCTATTAGATATTCACATGCAAAACAAAGGTAACACACTACAAGTTGGAGCATGTTAAATTTTAAACGAGTGACATACAAAATGACTTAACAAGACATCACCTGGTAATTATAAAGCCTCGAACCGTATTCTGCAATTAGAGCGTAAAATTGTCTGGATTTCTGAGGAAACTCCGTTTCGTTAAGCCACATGTGATTGCCAAGTCCTGTTAAAGAAAAGACCAACTCTGATGGAAGAGTCTGTCTGCAAGCATTTATGATCGTCTACATGTATGTTCTCTAAAGATTTTTAAGTCATCTCTCCACCCAACGTGGGGCTTGAACTCATGACACTGAGATCAAGAGCCGCGCGCTCCTCCGACGGAGCCGGCCGGGTGCCCTGATATGTTACATGCATTGATAAGAATTTCTCTAAGCATGAAGGATACATACACTCTTAAATAGAATATCAGATCCTTGGGTGACAATATGGAAAATGGCAATATTGGGTGCTTAACAAAATCAGGTCTCCATTGAAATGTTCATATGCGGGCAAAGACGAACAGGATCTACTTTTGTTGGACTCTGACATCTAATCCCAAACTTACAGCAACCAGAGGACTGAAGAAAAGCAGATTATCGTTAAGAGTATGGGATTCCTGCTCCCCTGCCTGCCATCCCTCGGTCCCCAGCATGGTGGCAGGGACTGGGAGCACGGGGGGGGGATGGGAGTGCACATTGCTCATGCAGCTTGCTGGTTTCAGGGGGCTAATGCAGACTTGTTCTTAATCTACAGTGACTGGGAGTTTTGAACCTCCTGGTGTTCCCACCCCCTTGGGCTAGAAGGGTTTTCTGGGAGGCTGTGATATCTGGCGAAAGATGGGAGCCCGGGTGGCTCAGTGATGGAGCGTCTCCCTTCGGCTCAGGTCATGATCTCTGGGTCCTGGGATCGAGCCCCAAGTTGGGCTCCCTGTCAGTGGGGAGTCTGCTTCTCCCTCTCCCTCTGCCCCTCCACCCCGGCTCATGCTCTCTCTCTCTCTCTCTCTCTCTTGCTCTCAAATAAATAAATTGTATCTTTGAAAAAAAAAAACTTAAGGACATAAATTGGCCTTCCCCACCTGGGCAAAGAATAGGGCATGGGGCAAGGGGCAGCCAGACCCAAAGCATGGGAGGGAGAAATCAGAGGAGGAAGTCCCTTGCGGGAACAGGGCTTGGAAGGGAAAAGAGAAGGTAACACGGGTGTCCCGAACTGGATGCATGTTCAGAAGAGGTCATAGAGAGGATCCCGGGCTTGCACGTCAGGTGGCTCTGTGGGCTCTGTGTGAGCCAGAGGTGAAGGTTAAAGCAGAGTCGTGGGTGGCCCAGCTTAGCCCTGAAAGCGTGCCCAGCGTAGTGTCACAGGATCAAGACTCGGAGAGTCTCCATTCTTCCCTCTCTGTCTCCCCTTCGATGACTCCAGGAAGTCTCTGTCAGGTCACCAGCTGACCACTGAGATGGCAAACAGTGACCGTCAGTAAAAAATGACGACAGCCCTCAATGAGGACTAACAGCAATCTCTGGGAAAGGGGGAAGAAATCTGACTTCCAGAGTTACCATATTAAAATATTGAAATGCCCCGTTTCCAGCACAAAATTACAAGGCACACAAAGAAACAAGTGAGTATGGCCCCTTTAAGGAAAAAAAAAAATGGACTGAAACCATCCCTGGAGAAGTCCAAACACTGGACAGAGTAGGTAAAAACTTTATTTAAAAAAAAAAGTTTTATTTATTTACTGAGAGAGAGAGAGAGAGAACTCGTGCGCCCCTGCGGGCAGGGGGTGGGGGAAGGCAGAGGGAGAGGGAGGATCTCAAGCCCACTCCCCTCTGAGCATAGGGTCCAATGCAGGGCTCAGTCCCACAACCCTGAGATCATGACCTGGGCTGAAACCAAGAGTCAGATGCTTAACGGACTGAGCCACCCAGATTGGAACCTTGATTTTACTGGGCACTCTGTGCTTCAAGTCATCTATATATTAAAGAGCAATGTTCCACGTGCTAGGGGGCGCGACGTGGGATATTGGCAGTCAGCAACCTGCAAACGGCACGTTCAGCCATTTCTTCAGCCCCCCTGGGGATCAGCGAGAGGCTTTCGTGCCGTCTATCTGCGACATTTATTTCTTTCCAGAGCTTTCTCTGGCATTTCCACAGAGATCCCCCTCCCTACACAGAAACATCCTGAGACATGGCTTTAAGGACCTTACCTATAAGAAGAAGGGTCAATATAGACACCGTGCTTATGACAATCTTCCACGACTGGGTTAACCTAAGGAGAAGAAAAACAAGAAGAGCGTAAGGGTCCACCACCAGCAACCGGTACTTTGAACATGAGACTAACCACTACAACCAAGTCCACACACGTGCTCCTTCTAGGCTGAGTCTGAGAACTAATTCACTTCCTAACCGAATTTTGGACTCCAGAGAAAACAGTTTCTGGGGTGGAGTATTTACACACTCAGACGTCCCACCCCTCAGGTCACACGCGTTACGGTTGTGCTGTGTGTGTGTATGCCCCAGTGTTTTCATGTGTGTGTAATAGATGCTTACAAAGGATGTAACAGAAAGGGTTATCCTTGTGGTCTGAAGGCAGAAGGAGAAGAGCTTAGAGTCTGATTTCATGGAAATTAGGTATTGGGTGGCTCAGTCGGTTAAGGTCCGTCCGACTCTTGGTTTTGGCTCAGGTCTTTTTTTTTTTTTTTTAAAGATTTTATTTATTTGACAGAGAGAGAGAGAGGGAGAGAGAGCATGAGCAGGGGGAGAGGCAGAGGGAGAAGGAGAAGCAGATTCCCCACTGAGCAGGGAGCCCGATGTGGGACTCGATCCCAGGACCCTGGGATCATGACCTGAGCCGAAGGCAGACGCTTAATGGACTGAGCCACCTGGGAGCCCCGTCGGCTTAGGTCTTGATCTCAGGGTCGTGAGAAAGAGCCCCGCGTTGGGCTCCACCCTAGGTGAGGAGCCTACTTTAAAAAAAGAAATGATTAACAACTATCTGATGAAGTTCTTTAAATAATCATAACACTTCCCTTCACTTTTGCTTGCAGTCTACCCTCTACACAGAAAAAGACACAAATCCTAACCGCCTGACTCAATGGACTTTTACAGGATGAACACACCCGTGTCACCTCAGCAACAACGGGCAAAACCCCCCCCACAAACCCCATCAGACCCTGCGCTTTCCATCCCAAAGGTCACCTCTGTCCTGACCCAGAAGCTTTTCCTGATTCTTTGCCCTCAGAGGGAGGTGTATCTTGAAAGCACATCCTCTGTAAATATTATTTCTTGGTCACGTGTGGGGTCCACTGCCTAAAGAGAGTTATTCAAAGGTGCATTTACAGCCCGGGTGAGCCCTCCCGATGGGCTGCATGAAATAAAAAGGACCACATGCAAATGTTCGGCAAAGGTTACTTCTGTTTTTTGATAAAACCCTGGCTGTCAGCCTCTGCACTTTAAAGCCCCTTGGATGCCTTTGCATGAACCGTGGGACCCTGTCTTCTGCGGGGAGCATGTTTTGCTCCTTTAGATTGGGACAGTCCAATTCCTCTTCTTGTATCATGACAAATGATAACAAAACTTTGTAGCCCTCCCTCGTTTGTATGGGCAGGTTTGTTTCCGTGCAAGGGCTCTTCTGGTACCACTCATGTGGCTATTCTGTGACTTTTCATTTTTGTTTTCCCAGCAGGCGGAGCAGAGGGGACAGGGGAGGAGGGCTGGGGTGTTTGCCCTCCTTCCTCCCCCCCTCCCCCCACCCCGCCCTGGGTGGGCAGGGATTCTCTGCGGCCTCCTTCTGGCCAATCCACACATGCTCTGACAACAGGACACAGTTATTGGCTCCAAATGCGTGCCCACTAACCGTGCAGTCATTTGTCACCCAAGGATGCGCTCAACGCACTCTGTGTCGGGGTGTCCTCAACCGCGGGGCTAAGCACCATAAATCACAGAGAACGGACAAGCTAGGTAAAGAGGGGAATAATCCGCAAATCCGTCAAGTAGAATAGTAATCTTGCTGCTGCTGAGGTTCATTCTTCTTTAAAGGTGGCTTCTGGTTCACAATCCTTGTGCCCCGTGGTCTTGAATGAGTCAAAGTACCCCCGGCGTGGTGATCAAGGGACACCTGCCAGGAAAGTGTTAGGAAATGACTTTCTCTCAAAAGGAGAAAGGCTTTTGGGGGGCTATTTTCCAAGTAAACAGAGCAAGTCTGGCCCGCGGCACGTATGTATCCGATCTGATAGCGATTGTTCTTCAGAGTTACGTACCCGTTGGCGTCAGGGTTCCCGTGCTCCGAGAGCAGGACACTAAAACTGGGGCTGTTGCTGGCTTCCTCAGAATGACCTCTAAAAAACCTGGCGGCCCTTCTCGGCTTCGGCCTTCCACTCATTTCCCCCCACAAGGTAGCAAAGAGCTGGGAGGAGGAAGAAGAGCATCCGTGTGCTCTTTGCTATTTCAGGGAAAGCATGACGCCCTACAGAGAGGATCTGGGGTTGCTTTCTTGTCTTACTTCCCGGGTGTTTCTCCTTCGAGGGGGAAACTGTGAGTGAGCGAATCTGGAACCGCTGCAGACCCCTCTGTTGCATCACCTTCTGTGACGCATCACAATGGAAACCCCACCCCATGTCAGGTGGGGCACCTGCGGCCGCCTCTCGGGCCCGCACCTCGTCCTGAACGCGCGTGTTCATGCTTCATTGTAACACCTTCTGCATGGCCCGCAGGTCCTGCCAAGGTTCCCCCTGTACCCAGCTCTCCGCTGTCACAAACCAGGGGTTTGCTGCGTCCCCTTCACAAGTGAAATACCACGGAGACCTTGGGAGACCCCAACATATCGCTCCCCAATGTTACTCTTGTCCCTTCCTTCCCACAGGGAACTATGATCTGGAAGTTGTTATATGGAATTCCCACGTATTTTTAAATATTTTAGCACCGATATATGTGTCCATACAGAACACAATATTGTGTGTTTGCTTTCGACCGAAACGCCCTTCCTCCGTTTTCTCCCGTTGTCTTGGGATGTTTTCACTCCAGCTCGCTCGCTCTCACGGCTGCGCAGTATTCGATGATATATTTTATCACATACACGTCACAGTCATTTACCTGCTCTTGTACGGATGCACGCTGAGGCTGCTTTTAGTTTTGCAGCAACACAAAGAATGGCCAACGCCCATTCTTGTGCGTGTCTCGTGCACACCCTTCGCCAGGGCCCCTCCAAGGAGAGAGTTTATTGAGTATACGGTCCGTGGGTGACAGCTTTGGAGCATGACTCACTGGTGCGTGAAGCAGGTGGCTGCTGATGGGGATGACGAGGATTCTGCCTCGTGCATTCCTGTGTGTGTGCCTGCCCATGTCTGTGCGTGCGTGTGTGTACACAGTGTGTGCACGTGTGTGTCTGTGTGTGTCTCTGTGTGCATAGCGTGTGTGCAAGTACACGTGTGGATCTGTGTGCACACGTCTGCGTGTGTGCAAGTACACGTGCGTGTGTATCTGTGTGCACGTCTGCGTGTGTATCTGTGTGCACGTGCCTGCGTGTGTGCTAGCACACGTGTG